TAAAATCTGGGGTGTTTGAGCACCCAGCAACAACACATCTAGTCGGCATTTTCTCATATTCTGACCGAAGAACTAGTAAGAATCTTTGCTTATCAAAACATTCGTTCTTGTTGTGACGTCACCACTCAGCGAGACTCTGCTCGGCCCAGTTCCTCTTTATCCCGTCCAAATGGATGGGGCGTGGCAAAACTGCGTACTTTAGGGCGCTATATCTCCGAGAATATTTAGTTAATCGAAAAAACATTTTTGTTTATTCATCTCCAACACACAGAAAATCAAAATTGATGATAATCCTATAAAGGTTATAGGCACTTTAAGTGAATTATGAAGTGTGAAATGTGAAGCGTGAAGAATGAAGTGTGAAGTTTCCACTTAAATATGTGAAATACGAAGTGTGAAGTGCGATGTACGAATGTCCCTCCAGGGCTTCCGTAGTATAATGAAACATATTTATGATAGATAAATTCAAATTTTACATTAATGCGCTATTATTCCAATACTACAACACTACAATAACGTCGCGACGGAGCGTTTGACCTCAGCCGTCCCCGTGGCGAGATTACATACTCGAGGTATTTACCTGAGGGAAAATAACTTTTCTTCTCTAAGCTACTAATGAATATCATATTTTAGATACTTTTCGAACGGTTTGAAATAAAAGTGATTTCCATATAATATCGGAATTAAATCACCATTTTTGAACGACGAAAATCTTTGGTTTCTTTCGACAAAATAACCAACTCATGCCAGGACAGTACTGGATGAATCAGCTAAGCATAGAGAACAGATAAATTTAATATACCCGAAGCATTCAGGCTCTGACAAAATCAAAATTGACCAGGATTTCATACTGGATGAACCAGCTAAGCATAGAGAACAGTCAAGTTCAATATACCCGAAGCACTCAGGCTCTGAAAAATCAAAATTGACCAGGACTTCGTCCTGGATGAACCAGCTAAGCATAGAGAACAGATAAGTTCAATATACCCGAAGCATTCAGGCTCTGAAAAAATCAAAATTGACCAGGATTTCATACTGGAGGAACCAGCTAAGCATAGAGAACAGATAAGTTCAATATACCCGAAGCACTCAGGCTCTGAAAAATCAAAATTGACCAGGACTTCGTCCTGGATGAACCAGCTAAGCATATAGAACAGTCAAGTTCAATATACCCGAAGCACTCAGGCTCAGAAAAAATCAAAATTGACCATGGATAAATCGTCCTGGATAAATGCTAGAATAAAAAATTGACCTTCATACTCATGAGAATCGCATATTAAAAACTTACCTCTGGGTTGTTCTACCTAAAGTAACTTATAAATTTAAACTTGAGCGTTTATCAGGCCTTTGCGCTGTGCCTTATAGCAAATCATCAAAATGTCTTGACTATGTTGTGCCTGACTAGGACATAAACACAGTTTGGCTGCTTTCCGATTTACTCCCGAAGTTTGGTAATAAACAGGGTTTTTTTTATTCAAACGTTGGACGTTTGTCATGATGTACTTCACTTGTCAGTGTGAGTGAATAGAATCGGCGAACATGCCTCAAATAAAAACTTCAAGAAAGAAGCGAGCCAGACTTTTGAGTTTAAATAAAGAAACAAACTTCGGGAGTAAATCGGAAAGCAGCCAAGTGAGATCAGTCGACCGTGCATGGTGCGAAAGAATTTGATGATATGATCATTAACAAACAATAGACTTCCCAGAGCATCAAATCGTTGGGAAACGATCAATGTTTTCTGTATCTCCCGTTCGCTTTAGATCGCTTTAAATGAGTTCAATAGTCTTGCAATTTTGTGTAATATTAGTTTAAGTTCTAATTTGTATCCTGACGTTGTTTTGAGAGAAATTATCGGCGAATTTTAGAATAATGGAAGATCTAGTAAGATTGACTAGAAAACTGCAATGAAAAGTGCGCATCAAATGTTTACCCCGTCTTATGCATTATACGTTTTCACAAAATCGCATAACTCGATTACCTTCAAAATGTTCCTTTTAAAACTAGATACAGAGTAAAACTAAATGAGCAATGACTTTTGTGAATATATAGCTCTGAAATATYAATTTCGGCCGTATGAAATCCATTAGTTAGTTTTGAAGTAGATTATGCACTATATTTAAATAATCTCAAATATTTCATAATTAGCTAGATAGATTTTTTCAAAGATCCCTAAAAATGGAGGCATCTAGTATATAATTACGTGGTACGAAGCATTTTAGCGTTGAACGCTATGCAAGGCTAAAATTGCTCTCTAAACGAAAATAAATATTTCATCATAATCACGTGTTATGACGTCCGATCTCATAAAAAAACTGCATCAAACATTAATTCAATCTTTATGTGACTCAATGTGCAAAAAAGATTTGCAATCGGATAAAACACATTTATGCACCAGCATTCCAAACTTGGAAGGTAGCGGTCAAGCGCGTGAGGTGGTCCAGCCACCTTTAAAGGGCCACTTGGACGAAAATCGCTCCAAAATTAAAACTCTTTCATTCGAGCTGGAACTTTGCTGAAATAATCTTGAATACATTAAGAACCACCCACTGGAATACCTTTCTGATATTCGAAAGGAAAGGGCCAAAACTTTACGATTYATTTTCGTCCGCCATTAATTTCTTTGACTCACAGAATTCGACTCAAGAAGACTGGCACGAGTACTTATGACGTCATTTACTCAACCCAAACCAAAACATTGGTGGGTAATGTATGTGCCATGTTCGTAAAACTCGGTTTATTTGGTTTATTCAGAAAATATATAATGTTTCATTCGGTTTCCTAACTACTATATGACCAAACGATGTCTAGGCGCTGAAAGTTTTCAGTTTCAATAATACTGACGATCATAATTCGAAAATTTCAATACATCTCGGCACGCCAAGAATCACAACAAAGTAGGACGCATGGACGAGATTCTAGCGGTTCCATCGCGCGAAGTGACTAAAATATTCGGGATTTATTCGAATCATTTTAAGGATAACAATTTTTCAAGGTATATTTACGTACAAGGGCAAAGAGCAACCTCACAATTTGGGTCCGCGAGACATCCGACACAATGAAAGAAAAATCTACGAGCTGAGTGACAGACGCCGCTGTCGCGCGAGTAATAAATAAGAAACCCTTGACATGTTCTTTTACAAAGATGATATTAGATAATCGTATGTTTGTACCTATTCAATGCATAATAAACATTTTGAAGCAAATAATAACCGTTCTGTAGTAAATCAGCTAGGAGAATTACGAGCTCACATTCTAAATTATTCGGCACGTAGATCTAAGTATATTGTCACAAATCTTTATATCACAACGCAGAATTCAAAAGGTAATCGGTTTTTTTCATAACATCAATCACTATTAGATTACATTGAAACTTCAGATTTAAGATCTTTATATCATAGACAGTATGTAGCAAATACAAATAATGAAATGAACGTAAGGAATTTTTATGAAAACCTCTTCCCAAGCATTGCTTCTTCTTCTAGTTCGGCTTCATCTTCATACATTATAACTTATGGTTCTAACTCTTCAGGATTGACAAAGCGAGCGTCCAAGGGAGTTTCCATCATATTTGAAGAGGTATCAAAGGTTTAAAAAAAGTCTGTTTAGAGATTCTTTTCACGATAACGCGTTTAAAACATCAAATAAACTTCAGGTAATCTAACAAGAAATGTATAGTCAAAACGACGCTAACATGAYGGTGTTGAGTAAATGACGTCACAGCGTAAAACTGCGGTGCATAATGACTCGTTGGCCGTGACAAAGAAATTAATGGCAGACGAAAATAAATCGTAAAATTTTGGCCCTTCCCTTTCGAATATTAGAAAGATATTTCAGTAAGAGGTCCTTAATGTGTTCAAGATTATTTCAGCAAAGTTCCAGCTCGAATGAAAGAGTTTTAATTTTGGAACGATTTTCGTCCAAGTGGCCCTTTAAATTGCTGCAAAGACTCTGGTACGGTTACGGAAATCTCTTTCTACTTGGATGACAGCCTTCGGTCAAGTCAGCAGCAGAAAACCAATACGCCATTGTTGTAGTTGAATTATTGATCTACGGGGCGCTTCGTAATTCGCGCCAAATATATTATATTAGGATCTTGAAATATTGAAACCACAATGTTCCAAGATTATTACGTTTTACCTGAGCTACTGGTACCCCTGCTATACGCAAAGTTTGTTTGGCTGCGGCTCGTTATTCCAGAGCCGATTTATAACCGGGATTTTACGGTATCACAAGGCCTCAGATATTTTCAGATAGCCTTATGCGCCTTTCCGCCAAGAAAGCTATAAGGTATAAACAGGAAGAAAGTAGTCACCTTGGATGCCTCCATATACCGCTTATGAACGTGTTCGATCTTTATTCTCCGTTACGTCAAGCATCTCTTAAACTTCAGAGTTCGCCGTCTCTCCCGATTATTTAAGATGTATTTGTATAGCCATGACTGGCGTGGTAAGTGGTCCACCATCGGGATAAGCTCTGTCGGCCAAGAGCTTTACCCGGTATGATCTATCGTCATGCGTGTTACCCAGAAAGCCCGCTTGAACAAACCTAAGATTGACCCATTCTTTAAAGGCGGCCAACGGATTTGATTGTGCAAATATTGCCATAACTCGGGAACAACTCTATTAATGCGAACTACAGAGGATGGGTTTATGTCAAACCAAAGTGCAAAGTTAATGATATGTGTGGGTATTTACTTAGCCTCAACCCAAAAAGAGAAACAATAAGCCTGCCTTTTGTTTGCCGGGTTTTCTAAACAGTACACTCTAACTATGGTTACCCGTCGTTTGCATTACTACGTGGCCACCCCAGGCACAAATCGCGTCGTGTAGTTTGCAATAGACTGCCATCAATCAAACACCTCATTCTACTTGGATGTACTCAAACTCTTTGCAATCGCTTTCGCAACTTTCCTTCATGATATCTGACTGAGGAAGTTTGATAGATAAGCCAACTCACTGATCCAAACGTGTATAAATGGCGTCAACATGAATGATTTATTGTAGTCTATCGCAAACTACACGACTCGATTTGTGTATGGGGTGGCCGCGTAGTAATGCAAACGGCGGTAATTGAACTATTTGTTATTTAAAGTGTATATCAAGGATTTTTTTTTTCTTTCAAAATCACTTATATATGAATAGTGTAGTAATATTGTTCCAGTATTTTCGTATGTCAAATTTTCTTTTAGGAGATATAAACATTTGAAATATCAATATGCAAATGAGATGACGTAAATTCAAGACTAATTTATTATACATAAATGCTTTTGTGGAAAGTACTGCTGTTTTTTTCATTTGCAAATCATCCTTATGATTGAAATATATATGGCTTTGTACACTTTTGAGTTATTTCACTTCGGAATACTTGTCGTAAATCACACTGCAAAATGTAACACATTATTGAATTTACGCCATCTCATTTGCATATTGATATTTCAAATGTTTATATCTCTGGAAAGAGAAGATCACATACACAAATACTGCAACCATTCTACTACACTGTTCACATATAAGTGATTTTGAAATTATTATTTTTTTCTTGATATACACCTTAATTAAATTTAACAACAAAAATAAGGAAACAAAGAGAGAGAGAGAGAAGATATTTATGTAAAAAAGAATTTGTAAAAATCGATTGCATCAAATTTTCATTCCTTTTCTCTTTTGTACAGTCCGACTGCAGCAAGTCTCCATGTCTTCACAATTTGCCTTGCATTCCTAATTACCATAACAACACCTACGAATGTGTGTGCCCAAGACCTCCCTACGAAGGCAAACATTGCAAAGGTATGGATGACCCTAAATACATTCCATCGTAAGTTGGAAAGGGCAGATATAGGAGAGGGTTGTCCAATACTATCGAACTGATCCGTACGATTCGTGAAAGTCATTGATATGCATAAAACGTGCATATCATTATTTGTGTGCACTTAACCTTTCACGGTAACCCTGTGTGAAGTTATTGGTCACAATTATATGCTTTTATTATTTCGGATCTTCATCTGAAGGCACGCTCTTGTAAACACCTATGGAAATAAACGTTATCGGTCGTAGATCTGAGATGATCTGAAACTAAAAGAACTTTTTGTGCTTTTCTGGCTAAAATACCAAAAAATCACATTCCTAAATCAAAAGCTTAAAACCTTCTTATTCATTCCGGCTTATTTTATGAATTAAGCCATTGTTTTTTCTTTATCTTAGCTTTTCTTTTCTTTTTCTTTTTATTAGTTTGTTGTATCTCTTATTCATTCTAGATTGGCTATATTTTTATTTTGTTTGTTTGTTCTTTCTTTTACTGGATATTGTGAAGCGTATATGGACTATCATGAAATTTACGCTATATAAATAAATAATTATTATTAATATTTATTATTATTATTATTATTATCATTATTATTATTATTATTATTATTATTATTAAAAGTCATGATATAGTCCAATCTAAACACTGTAAAAACAACTTAAAAACACTGGTTAAGTTTATGCAACTTAGACAACCAGTTTTGTAATGGTTCGTGGAAATATTGGTTGTTATGAACGGCCTCGGGACTTCTACTAAACTTCCCTCGGCTTCGGGGACATTTAATTTCTTAATATCCCTATAAAATGACCTTGCATTTTTTTAATGATGTTGATAATGACAGATAAATTTTGGTACCTTTTTTTTTTCTCTCTTTTTTTTTTTTTTTTTTTTTTTTTTTTTTTTTTTTTTTTTTTTCTCTCAATAGCTTATTGAAGCATCATGCATGAAATTATTTCGTTTTAGTGTGCCAAAAGTCACATGCATTGGGTCTAGAAGACGGTACCATTCCTAACAAGGCCATTACTGCCTCATCATTCTTTGGGTCTGGTAAGGAGCCATGGCGTGGAAGACTTAACAATGTTCCGTCCCAACCCAATGACGTCAAACGAGACGTAGGTACCTGGATAGCTAAATCCCGAAGGCAAGGTGAATATTTACAGATAGACCTTGGACAGATCTCTGCCGTTACCATGGTAGCCACACAAGGAAGACCGATGGGCTATAACCAATGGGTCACTAGTTATACTATACAATACAGCACCGACGGGATCGCGTGGGATTTTTACTTCGAAAATAACGCCAAGAAGGTAATGGATGGATGGATGGATG